AGGGTTTGTATTTTTTTCTGCTAAAGCTTAGATTTCCTACCTGTCTTATATGTAAACCTGCATCTCCAACAAGGCTCAGGGCCCTGGGGTATCATGATGGCAACTCGGCAAATACTACCCAGTCTTTTGTGGGCTTTCTCACTGCCTGCATGCTGCAGACTCTGGCGCCAACTCATCTTCGGTGTGATTTCTTTTGTTCTCCAGTTTGAACAGCATCAACTCCTCAGATGTAAAGCGATCAGGTGTCAAGAGTTCTGGGTCAGAAGGAAGCGCTCCCATCAACAATTCTGTCATCCCTGTTGACTACAAGAGTTTTAAAGCCACTTGGACAGAGGTGGTGCACATCAATCGGGAGCGGTGGCGGGCCAAGGTGCCCAAAGGTAATGTGCTCTTTAGGAAGAATCTTCTTCTAGAATTATCCAGATAAACTTCATATCCACTTGCAAAACAAGTGGCTGCCTTCTGTGATTTGCAGGCCTTTCAAGTGAAGCACTTTGCTCCAGGGAATGGAGGTGCTGAATGTTGGGTACTGCCATCTGCCAATTCTCGCTCTGTTCAATGCATGGTAGAATGTGGCAGACCTCCAAGCATCTCTTCCCTGGGTCTTTGTGTAACACAGCTAAACCGCTTTCCAGTGTGGAGTTCTACAGGCCTAGATTGTCATTTCCTGGTCTCTGCTATATTACCTTGTATTACATTTCATGTCAGATGCCACAGTGGTAAAGCCTCTCAGTCCTCGTTTGCCTAGGTAAAACCCCACCAACAGCTGCCTGCCTCTCGTGTTAGGGTATGAGAAACTTTAATTTCCTTCCAGGAACTTTAAACATCCTGTCAAATTCAGGGTTTTCCTCATTGCTCCAACCCCGGAACTGATATTATTTGCTCGTTGTTTTGAGGGGATAATAATTTGTAAGTACACTGAAATTTCCTGAAGCAAACCTCCTCAAAGTGCATACTGGAAAAAGCTGTGACTCCTGCTATTACGCACAGAAAAATATGAAAATCCGTGCTTCTTGGGGCTTAATTCATATGTTCACAGTTGTTTTTATTACTGAGCATGATTGGCACCTATGCCATGATCACAGTGTTTAGGTGGAGCGTCACATGCACACAGGAAGCACATGGATCTGTGATGCCAGATCTCAGGAAGGGTCACACATGTGAAATGACTCTTGATGCTCAGTAATAGGACTGATTGCAGCGGCCTTGTAGAGGTGAACCTTCAATGGCACTCGGCACTCAGTGTCTGTTGGCACCTATTGTATGCCATCTATGTTCTAGACTCCATGCCCAGTGCCAAGGGCTGTTATGGAATTTCCTATACTATGGGTTCATAGGAAGGACACTTACGTTAGAGCAATAGTTCTCAACCTGTGGGTCATGATCCTTTTGGGGGTCAAACAACCCTTGCACGGGGGCACAATTCATATAGTCTGCATTAAATATTTGCATTATGATTAATAACAGCAGCAAAGTTACAGTTATAAAGTAGCAACAAAAATAATTGTATGGTTGGGGGACACCACAGTATGGGGAACTGTATTTAAGGGTCACAGCATTAGCAAGGCTTAGAACCACTGTGTTAGGGTTTGATACAAAGGCTGAGTAAGAATTCAGTCAAGACCTTGTACTTATTATCAACATCCCTGAGCCCCAAACCCCACGAGCAGCCAAGGTTGTTGAGACTGTGTCCTCAAACAACACCTGAGCTGGCACTCTGCCTGTGTCAGCATTGTGGAAGAAAGGTAGGATGGCTGGTGTCTTGGAGTATTCTCTATCCCTGTAGCCAAATATTTGATACTCCATAATTTACAAAAAATCAAGAGAATGATGTTGGCATCTGGTCTGCTTACTTCATGGTGGAAGACATCACGCGAAGAGACAGAGCCAGTGTGCAAACTTGAATCTCTGTGCCTATATCCCAATTAAAGTCATTGTGGAGGTCTCACCCTCGAGGTATGGTCAAGTCCTCATTATCTCTCCACTTCCAATCAACATTTAAATTCAGGACCAATGTTTCAATGCATGTAAACCAGGGGACAACTAACTCTTAGTACTAGCAGTAGGTTCCGCAGTCCCCACACTGGCTGGAGAGAAGCACCCTGCAGGGTTGTTTCAAGGGCCCAACACTGACTTGCTAGCAAAATACTGCAAAAACTGGTGCAGGTAAGGCAAGAGGCTTAGATTTATGTTGTTCTTGGGGCATAACTGAAATACTCTTATTTGGAGGCAGATGTTGCACCCTGAGCTATGAAGGATGCCAACAGCTGCTGTATATTTTAATTGTAAGCACTTGGGGACCATTCAAATGCATCAAGCATTTAAATCCTCCCTGTTGGCAGGCTACTGCACCATCAAAAGAACACTCTCCCATGATCATTACACTTGGACATCCAGTTTCTGACAAAACACAATTTAAAGAGGTCATTCAAAATCATTTGCTTGCAATTACCTTTGTTACTGAAATTACCTTCTGAACTAATCACCTGGGAAACATTAGATGGTGTCCTTTCAAAGGGACGGTAAACACCTCATCTTTTTAAAATGCCCTAGCTTTGCAGCTAGGGATACAGAAAGTATTTTAAGAAGTATGAAAGATCTTGTCCCCAACTGTGCTTAGGTGGGGCATTCAGGAAGACCTTCAGTAGGTAGAATTTGAAGGATGCTGGGATGTGCCTGACGATATTAGAAATGGGTGCAGGAGGGGTGAAGGGGGTAGCCCACAGGGTAACACATGTATAAATGAAGCCTGAAGAGGGGTATGTATGTGTAATCCCAGTGATGGGGAAGAAGAGACAGGCTGCTCACTTGAATTCACTGCCTAGCCAGCCTAATCCCACATAAACAGCTGTAGGCCAGTGAAAGACCCTGTCTTGGGGGTGAAAAAAGGTGGCATAACACTTGAGGAAAACACACACACACAAATGCATACATAAACACAAAAGAAAGAAAACAATGTGCACACCTGATGGTTGAGAGAGGACGCTTAAAAAAGGAATCCTACACTAGCTCAGAATTAAGAAATAGACTGGCATTTATTAAGGGGTAAAACTACCCTATCTAGATATCAGTAACTCTGACCAGTGCTTTGAACCAATCTAGTTTTGCTCAGCTGTGTATACAGATAGAAATCAGTTTTATAATGCAATGACACTTACATTCTATTTTTTCATGCCTTGGACATTTATTTTTTTTACTGATGCTGAATAGTCTGATGATACAATTATTGAGATATTCCTCCATTACTAAGTGTTAGGGTTCCAAGTCATTGATGCATGTAATAAAGTTATCAACATGAAAGTTCAAAAGAAGCTATGGGATTCTTCTAGCAACAGAGATAAGAACTTTAAAAATTTTTTATGCTAAATTCCTTCATGGCCTTTTTTTTAAAAATCAAATTTTCTCCCTCAGATGCAATAACAGTAAAACTGCCCATTTCTCCCTACTGCCATTTCCCATTAGGGTATCCACATTCTTATTGTTGAGTCATAATAATTTTTACATATTAAGGATAATATTTTAGGTGTCAAAGTGTTCTACAGTTTCTGCCTAGCCCTAGTCTGTCATGTGCCATTTGCTTTGCTGAGTCTCTATACCACCTACGTTTACTCTCTCAAAAACATCATTTCTTTATTGGACAGTGAGTTTCAATAAGTGAGATAATGTGTCACATATGATTCTCCACACTTGCTGAGACATTCATTTTTGCTTGTTTATCAGCACTCAACTTTTGTTGAAAACTATGAAGTTCTCAGTCTACTGATTAGAATGGTGTTTTTCCCCACACAGCTTAACTTTACACTTTTTGAAAAAGTTTCATTGATTTACTTTTATACAAGAGTGTTTTGCCTGTGTGTGTGTGTATGTGTATATATATATATATACATATATACATATATATATATTTGTACTGTGTGTGTTCCTTATGCTCTCAAAGATCATAAGAGAGAATCAGATTCTCTCAAATGAGGTGCTGGTAGGCTAACATGTGGTGCTCTGGGAACCACTGAGCCACTGAGCCTCTGGGAACCACTGAGCCACTGAGCCAACTTTCCAGTTCAGCGCATTATTTCTAAATAAGTGCTCAGTTTTTATCTTTAACATTTATTTCTATTTTATCAAGAAGCTTTGCAATTTCATTATATTCCTTTGGCACATTTTTGTGTCAATTGATCAGTTTTGGATTTCTGCGATTGATTGACATTTTCCATCAGCTAGTGTACATAGGAAGCTGTTAAAAGGACACCTTCTGAGCTCTTAGGGGCCCTCAGTGTCCTTCTTGTTTCTGTATAGAGCATAATTGAGAGATTTTATATATATATATATATATATATATATATGCATATGCATATATATGCATGTATGTATATATACACTTACGTCAACCAGTTAGATTCCTATCTCTTGTCTAATGTTTCTATTCTCACTCTGTCCCCCGCATCTCTCTGTCTTTACTGTATAAGTCAGCAGCTCAGAGTACATAAAGGACTAAGTAGCCCAGTGGCATTTCCATTAAGGAATCTATATGGTCATTCCTTACAGAGGACATTGAATAAAGACTCAAGTACAATTTTGAGATCATATGGGCATTCAGTGTAAGTAGCCTCAAAGCTTGTGGGAATAGCATGATTTACAGATCCCAAGGACTCTGTCACACTCAAACTCTTGAGGTGCCTTCTGTTGGTTATTTTCATATCACATCAACCCAAGATAGGATGAAAGAGGAGCAAAAGAAAACAGATAAAAAAGTTTATAGCCTACACGCCAGGAAGCCTTGGGATACCAAGGAGTCTTTATCTAAGACCTGATAAATGACTTCCTTGTATCCATGCCATTACTGGAACATGCGGTCTGTGCAGACTGTCAGTGTCTTACTGACCTGGTCTCACTATCGAGCGATGGTATCTATACCAATAAATTCACCCTAAGCATGTAAAGGAATCTGATTGCAGTTGAAAAGTAATCAACCTTGTGCAGATAAGATTTTAGTGTTATATGTGTTTGCTGTTGTCTCTCTGGCATCACTAGCAGCTCTTTGTATACTCTATGGCTGATGACACACACACAAGTCAGAGAATAGAGCATTGTTGGGTGAATAGAGCATTGTGGGGCCATTGTGAGAGTTTATTAGAAGGTTTTTGCACCGAAGGGATTCATACTTTGGGATAGGCTCATATCTGATTTGATCGTGTTTTAAAAAGAGCTATCGTTTGTTAACTTAAAATAACTTTTCTATGTCAGCTACACTTGAGCAAATATGGGTTTGCATCAGGAATGTTCCCTCCTCTTCTTCTCAGTTGTTATTCTACATCTCCCATGAAAAATTGGTCTGACTCAGTTGTCAAATGAGTTTTTCTTTCTAAGATAATATTGTATGATCTTCCATAGTAAAGTGCAATTTAACAGCTTCCAGTTTTATTTAAATGCTGTTCAACTTGGAGATCTTTTGAGTGTTGGAAGTTTGCCACACACTCAGTAATGCAGTAATGAGTCTCTGAAGATGGCCATAGCTAATCTTCTCTGATAGTGCATTCTAAATATAAATGACTGCCTCTCCTTGGTTCTGTTTGCCTCGGTCTAATAAATACAGTCATCTTTTAAAAAATTAGAACAAATTAAATAGAATATGACTAAACAAAAGCTATCACATTGGGGTTGGAGAAGACAAACAAAAGAACAAACATCAGAGACCCACTTGCTCTTGCATTCAGGAGTCCCATAAAACACTAAACTGGAAGCCATAATACATACTCAGAGAACCCGGGGCAGACCTTTGCATGCCCTGTGCATGCAACCTTGGTATCTGTGAATTCATATGTGCATTGATCTTGTCGATTTAGAGGGCTTTGTTTCCTTGGTGTCCTCCGTCCCCGCTGGCTCTTCGGTTCCTTCTGGCTCCTCTTCTGCTAGTTTCCCTGAGCCCTGAGTAGAGGGATATGATGGAGACATTCCATAAGGGTTGAGTGTTTTAAGAACTTTCACTCTCTGTACATTGTCTGACTGTGGAGTCTGTATTTATTTCAAAATACTCAAGAGAAAGTTTCACTGATCTATGAGTATAATAGGAAAAAAACAGTCATCTTTTTACTTACATTTATTTTAAGTTAAGAAAGGTAATGTTTGCATAGCATTACTATCAGAATAGGACCAGAGAGTATGTATACTTGGGTGTTGTATCAGTCTAAGGTGCTAGGTTACACTGACAGTTCCTGTAAATCATGTGCATAAGCAACATCTCATGGCTTTATCAAAACTTCAGGAGCACATGATGTATGCTATGCATTATGCCAAACAGTGATGGGTGTGATATTTGCCCTATCCTCAAAACACCTAGGGATATAAGGAAGCCTGAATGAATGTCCTAGGGACCCTCCCCCCAATCCCTGTGCTTGACCTGTCTACCCAACATCTTTTTAAGTACGTTCTTCCACCTTTTCGTTTACATTTTTTTGTGGAAGTCAGAAGTCGTCAAGTGCTAGATATGGATATGATTGTTATTTGTAAAGAAATATTTTATACCCTCTCACTGTCATTTGTAAATGCATCTTGTCGAGGGGAAGAATATTATAATGCACTGAAAGGCTAATAGACTTGACATCAGAGCTTCTCAATACTTGCTGTGTGCTAAAATTGCCCAGGAAACATTTGAGATATCCTATCCTGATCCCTCTCCTTTAAGAATCTGATTAAATTTGCTTGAGATGAGGCCAGGCCTTAGATTTGGATGAGAGAACGAATGAGTTATCAGATGGATGGATTGCTGGATCAATGAAATGATGAATAAAAACGCCAGGCCATGTTAAAGAAGACCCCTGGAATAAACAAATAGAAGGGCCTAAAAAGTAAAAATAAAGTTAGGCATCATGAACAGTCACAAAAATGAATGCATATCATAGAGCTGTGTGAACCCACCAAACTGGGACAGAATGGGACTTGGAGTGCTTTAGCAGCGAACACAAAGGAAAACATCAGACGCACCAGCTCTCTGGGACTCACTAGAGTAAAGCAATCATACTGAATGAAAACAGTTCAAAGACCAACACTAGCCCAGGGGAAGAGAAAGGCCCCTGGTGATGGGAGGTGAGGAGTTTTTCACTCATCTGTAGAAAAAATGCAATAATGCTTTTCCTAGAGGAGGTTGATAATGTCAGGAGTGTCTTTAGAGTGACCTCTGCGGGGCAAACCTCTAGAACTTCCAAGGGGTTTGACTGTTTTAAGGGCCTTTCTTAGGTGCTGTTCTCTAGAGTCCAGACCTGCTATGCCCTCCAGCCTCTGTGATCTGATCTGTACTTGTCCTTGGTCATTTGAGCACTTTGTCTATGACTAACTCCTTGCCAAATCTCCTTCAGGGACCAGTTCAACATGCATGAACGCAAGGAGCATGTTCCTTCTATGGCTTCCATGTTGTTTAGTTTCTCTGATGAATGCTACAGTTTCTACATATGATTTTCTAGTCAGCTTCTCATCACTGAGGCCTTGGTCAAATTCTGTCTTCTCAAGAAAAGCGTCTCCATACCTCTGTTTAAAGCCACCTCTTGCCCTGTGCTGACTGTGTTCCATCCTGTCCTGTCTCTATGTCCAGTTTTTCCAATCAGCCTTCAACATTCAAACTTAGCCATTTGTTTACTCGATTATAAGGTTCTCCATGGTTCTGTCATGCTTGATGTCATATCCCCAGTTTCTAAAGTTATTCTTGACGATATAGCTGCTCAGTAAGTACCAGCTGCATGAATGAGTCACTCCTTTCATAGATATTTGATATAAGTATGCACTTACACTGTATTTTCATTAAGCACATAGTCAGTCAATTGTGTTAGAAATAATATGGATAATCAGTCAAAGGGGCAACCCAGAGCAGATTCCTGACCAAACTGAAGGCTCCGCCTCATCCTGAGGACAGTTGAATACCTTGGGATTGGGGACTTGCTTTTAGTTTTATGAGGTTTAGCCTACCTCTTAAATTCACAAACTCTAGCTTGATTTTGTAGTCTTCTAATGATGGTTATTTCCCCCAAATTTTTGTTCCACACTCAGATGTTACTGTTTAGGTTCCATTTTCTAAGCATGCCTCATAAAATACCATATATATGTGTGTGTACATATATTTATGCATATACATAGTGTACGTATACTTATATAATGTGAAATACCATATATACATATAAAATACCGTGTACATTTATATATACACATATAAAATACCATATATACATACATGTGTGTGTATGACATATGTGTGTCTTACTATGGTTGGGGGAAGTGGGATCATGTCTCTTAGTCTTTATTTTCATACCCATAAAATAGGGTTACAAACTAGTTTTCAGGATGATCAGAAACAACCTTTGAAGACTGCTGAGCATAATCTTGCATGAGGGCACATTCGCTAGAGGTTATCAGCAGTAAGAACAGCTTGCTATCACAGTTGCATTGCCATTATTATGTTCTCCAGACCCCCTCCCAACTAACTGCTTTCAGACGTGGTCTGTCTTACTGATATGCTAAATACACGTGTCAGTCTGACTTGAGTTAATCAAGAATATATCCAACACTCTCAATAGACCCCTTAGGTCATTTTACTGTACTAGTTTCCCATGAACATTGTTGTTGATTATTTTCCCAAGAAGGTCATTGTCCTAATGGTAGACCTCTCTTTCTCCTTCCTCATTGCTCTGGATGTAGAAGAGAAAGCCAAGAAGGAAGCTGAAGAGAAGGCTCGCCTGGCTGCTGAGGAAAAGCAAAAGGAAATGGAAGCCCAAAGCCAAACTGAACAAGGCAAAGCTGAGAAGAAGACATCAGGAGAAACGAAAGGTCAAGTCAATGGAGCCCGTACAAACAAGGCGAAGAACCCCAAAGGCGACAAGACAGGAGAAAAACAGCAGAATGGTGAGAAGGGGCTGCCTGGGAAAGGCTCTTTGGGGGTGATAATGATGTGGCAAGCAGAAACTGGTGACACCCTCCCTTTGCTGGCAGCTCACATAGCTCCATGTTCCTCCTGAGATCCAAATCAGGATCCCATCCTATGGCCACCAACAACTTAGCTCCACCTCTCTGGCCTTTCCTGATACCCTGGAGACTCTTACAAGTGGTGCAAATTCCTAAGAACAAGCCCAGCCTGGATTGCTAACTTCCAAAATGAGTAGAGAAAAGTCAACCTTTCAAATAAATATCCCATCCCTTTAATCAAGTCAGGCGTCAGTCTGCAGGGGACCTGTTCCCAAAGTGTGTGTCTGGACCTTGAAATGGCTCAAGCACACACATTAGGGGACCAGTCAGCCTGGTTTGGCTGTAGTTGAAAACCTTCCCTACAGGTTTTCAACTCTAAAATCCAAATGGTCCAGGCGAACTGAGGGCAATGAGCCACCAACATTTTCAGAGAACTGATGAGTTCTTGTATTTAATGCAATAAACATTTATTGACAACTTTCTGTCAAACTCTATGTTAGTCTGAGGGGTGTAGGAATGGAAAGGGTAGGAGAAACCTGTGATGCTGTGGGGAAATAAACACCCTCACACCCTCACACCCTCACAAATAATCCTAAAGAAATGTATACGTGATGCAGAGATGAGGGACGGTAGAGCAGCAGAATCAACTTCCCAAGAGTCCTACACAAAGGAAGAAATTGCTGTGGGTGGCTAAGGTAGAGAGAAGAGGAAACAGTCTGGGGTGTCTTCAGAAGGGGATGGTGTAACATGAGGGCTGGTTTGTTGGGGTATCTGTCCCACCCGGTACCCCACAGCCTGCAAGTCCCAAAGAAAATTACACACATGACTCCATAAGATTATAAACTGATTGGCCCATTAGGTCAGGCTTCTTATTAGTTCTTATGATTTATCTTAACCCATTATTCTGATCTATGTTAGCCATATGGCTTGGTACCTTTTTCAGCGTGACAGCTCACATGTTGCCTCTTCTGGTGGTCTGGCAGGAATGGCAAGGGAGCTTCCTAGAATACTCCCAGTCTCTTTGCTCCACCTCTACTTCCTGTCTGGCTTTCCTGCCTATACTGTCTGCCTGGCCAATCAGCGTTTTATTAAAATATGATTGACAGAATACAGATAATTCTCCGGCACCAGGATGGTTTCTGATTTTCAACGTTTTAGTCTGAGTCAGGTTGGGGAGAGGCTTTCAGCTAGATTGACGGAGAGATTAAGGTGTGTGTTGAGACAGGGAACCAGCTCCTCTGTTTCCAGATGGGCAGGCAGATCTGTTCCTGAAGCTTACAAATGCCAGGTTCTGACCGAATAACAGGCACCTTTGCAAAAAGATCTGTGTTCAAGTCACAGTCTTGTTGCTTCTCTTTTCTTGGAGACCTTAGTTAAAATATATAACCTTTCCCCCTTCTGTGTAAAATACATATAAAACCTGTTCAGAGTCCCAGCCTCTTGTGAGTGTTCAGTAATAATCATGGTAGCCAAGCCAGTGAGAGACTCTGCCTCAAAACACAAGGTTGATGGTGATTAAAAGATACACAAGGCTAAGTTCTGGCCTCCACAGGTGTGTGTGCACACTTGTGCATCCATGTACATGCATGCACATACACATTCACACAGGTATGTATATAGATTCTAACATAGATATGGTTCCATGTTACAGATGAGAAAATTAAAACTCTGATATTAAAAGACTTAAGCACTCATCGAGTAGAAATCCTTGGCTTTTGGGAATCCCCATTCTCTGTTCGATAGCCAACACTTGCTTACTATCTGCCAAGCCCAGGACTGTTAGAAAGAGGTGGGGATCAGAGGAAGGCCAAGCCCTGCCACTGTGCAGAAGACACGGATGGTACATGCTCTCTGTAATGGGCCAGATGCTAAATCCCTTTGACCTCACAGCCTGTGTACTTTGCATCACAGCTATTCAGCATCATCCACAGCTAAGGACAGTTCTTGAACACATAAGTGAGGCTGTAGCCAAGTAGGATTTTACTATGGACAATGGAATTTGAATACAACTCAATATTCATGTCACATGTTCATTTTTAATCAACTGTAGGTATAAAAGTCAGTCTTACTGTGTGGATCACACAAAACCAGGCAGTGGAGTCATGAGGCCTAGTTTCTAGCCCTTGGTGTAGTTGTTGAAAGGATTCTATATATTCTATAGAATATATCACAGCCAAAAATAGCCTCAAGTTACCCTACTGTTACCATTTCTTCCTAGAAAAGGAAAAGACCTTTAAGATGAAAACAGCACTGGAGAGCCTGAAATCTAAGTGCACAGGAAGGCTGCAGACACAGTAGGGGAGAGCTGGGCCTCTGGAACCAGACCCATTCATGTGTCCTGTTATTTCTTCCCTGAAAGTGTTGGCCTGGGGCCAACTCCTTGTAAATCAGCTCAAACACTGTCACTTTATAGAAGCATCATTGGTCCTTATTCAAAACCATTTTCTGAAAGGTAGCTTCAGACAGACGGATAGTCACTGTCAGGTGGAAGATGTAGATGTAAGGCTAGGGTAGATGGTGAGGCCAAAGTTACAGCTGAAACATGTGTTAGTGGTGGTCCCCTGGGGCAGCTTTTGCTCTTCTGGCTACAGTGCTGCCTAGGGATGTCTCCATGTGGAAAGCATCCCCCAGCACTAGGTGAGTTGGTAGCTCACTGACTTGCCAAAGGAGTCCGTGATGCATTCTCCACTGTGGATCCTTCACACTGGGGTTGTTTAAGATGCCAATGCAGTGATTATGTGCAAAGCACTTGGCACACTGCAGCACACACTGAAGAAGGATGAAATTCTTCACTCGTACTTATCCTGCCACCTCAACTCGCTGCAAACTTTACTGCTAGGATCTTATCTATTCTGCGATTACGTAGAATTTGAATAATAAGGTGTTCCTGGCTGTATGGGGGTGAGAAAAAAAAGGTGCCATTAGTAAAACTAGTAACAAAAGTGTCAAAGACTTGGGAATGAGGCTGGTACAAGGCACCCCTCTGTTCTCATCAATGTTACTCCATTTATGAAGCAGATCACGGAGGGTGGCTATTCTCAACAAGGGGTAACTCCTTGTTCCATAGCAGGCCACATGGGCAATATTCGTAAGCAGTCTGTCTCGGCCATACACATTCAACTATGTTGTTGCAAAATGAAACCACCACAGACAATTGGTAGATATGGGTAAGTCACCTGCCAAGTGTCAGTAACATGTCGTTAACTGTAATGGGTGGCCTACCAGATTGGACCATAGCTTGCTGACCCGTAATTTTGGTGGATACAGGTGTGTTTAAATTTTCTTTTTGGTACTTGATTCACATAATGTAAAGTTATTTGGTAGAGAAGAGAGTCTGACTTGTACAGAGATTGCCTGAAAGTCATGTGCATTATCCTTTGGTTATTAACACTTTGTCTATTTTATCCCAGCCTTGCTTGAACACACTTCTACGGCGCCTGTAGATACCCACTTCCTTGTTTTATCCTTAGGATCATTTTGTTCTCTTTCTCTCATCGATGAGTTATGTACATTCTTTACATATGTTTGCTCACCTTTGTGAGAATAGTATTTTTAACTTTGGAAAACGATAGTTTGACAAGCCCATTAATTCGAATAACACAGGCAGCTCTATCTTAGAATTGGGACCACTGCCTTCGAGCTGCACAAAGTGTGTTACATTTAGTACTTAAATGGCTCAGGTGCATCTGCCCACCATCCTGTATGCACAGTAGACATTATTATTCCCATTCTGCAGATAAGAAACTAAAACATAACTATTAGTTTACATAGCTAGCTAGCTATTAACTAGTATAGCTTACATACATTCCAGGTTTTCCCTTACTTCACAGCCTAACAACAGAACTGAATTGTTTTTCTCAGAAAAATAGCTATGACGTAAGTACAACCTTGTTTGAGCGGATATTCTAGTTTTCATGTCTGCCTGTCATCCGATTTTCAGAACCTATCACGTGGCCACAGATGATACTGATACCAGGGTATGTGCTCCCTCACGCCTCTGTGCTGTCTCACCCTGACAGGTTGGAAGCGTTTCTACCTCCTCAGCTGCACACACTCAGTTTGTCACGCTTTTTGTTTGCAGGTGACTTGAAAGATGGGAAAAATAAGGCAGACAAGAAGGATCACTCCAGCACCGGAAATGATTCAAAGAAAACAGATGGTAAGAGTGTCATTCTTGTCACGGTTTTCATAGAGTGTACGACGGCAGCAAATGTGTTAGCCTTGTGCCAGGAGGGGAGCAGGGCTGTTAATGTGTCCTCACATTCTACCCTGAATGAGGCCTCATTGCCTTAAGGAGCACTAGCCTCTGTCGGCAGCAAGTCGCAAACACCCGCTGTGTCTTCCTCTCCAGTGTACTGTCTCATCACAAATGTTTTCTGTACACCTCCTCTTCCTTCCTGATGTTCTCTGTAGAAAACTTCATTAAAAAAACCTATTTCTAGACTTGCTGACCGCAATTCATTAGACAAACACGCATTGCGTATCCATGAACTTGCAGCCACCGATGGTACAACATAAATAAGCTATGTTTAATGTTTTCAGTTTTTACATTTCTTATCTTGAATAAGTTATTACTTTTGCTAAAAAAAAGAAACATGAGAATCTGTTCAGTGCTAGGCTGGGAATCAAAATGTACTTTCTTAGACTCCATTTCTCATGAGCAAGAACAAGTACTGAAGACAGTGAGAAGGCAGGATCGAAGGGAATGATCCTACAGAGTCCCAAGGGTCTGCAGTACCATGTGCATCATGAATGAGCTTGCAGTGTAGAGCAACTTCATGAATGATGAGCCTACAGTACAAAGCATTTAATTAATGAGCCTGCAGAGTCATGAATAAGTCTGTTATGGGATGTATCTCATGGATACAGCTTTAACTTTAAACCAACAACTTTTCATTTATCTAAAAGCTGGGAGTGGCAATTGCATTACCCTCTCCACCTGGGACTTCTAGATGGTGCCATCTACCCTCATCTGTTATACAAATTTCATTGTTTCGCCTGTACCCCTGCCTCCTTCCTCATCACCTCTTCATGCATGGGCATGATATTCAGATAAAGCAGACTTTTAAGAAGTGGTGTTTGTGAAGGCCACCATATTCTTTGCATTTTATCTCCCTGATGATATCCTATTTAATAAGATGTATGTTAAATACTTTGGATAGAATATCTTTGAAGAACAAATGCTGGGTAATCAAATTGAGGGATAAAAAGAAATTTGAGGATGACAATTTTAATACCTATTAAAAGGTTTTAGGAATGGATTTGCTCAAACCACATTGTATACTCACCTGAAGTTCTCAAAAAAATAAGTAAAATTATATTTTGAAAAAAAGAAATAAAAATAAGTTCAAGGTCATCCTTGGGTTCAGCACCATCCTGGGATACATGAAACAAAGTTTCAAAAAAAATAAATGGAAGCTGAAACAAAAGCTAAGCAGGTAAGACCATTTGTTGCTCTTGAAGAAGACCAGGCTTTGATTTCCAGCACCCACATATTGGTTCACATCCATATGCAATTCCAGATCCAGGGATAAGGCATCTTATCTCTCCTGGCATCTCCAGGTACTGCATAGATGTGTCATAGATACATCTCTGCAGGCAAAACAACCATACCCATAAAATAATAAAAATAAAAATAAGATTGAGGGAAGGTATCAACCACTCTTGCTGTAGCCATAATGGCACCTGTCTTTAGTTTCATATGTAAAACTTTATATTTAAGCTGCTTGTTTTAAAAGCAATCAGAAAACTCTCTCCAGGTGTCTCACACCGGTAATTTCCCACCAACTTGCTCATGTAACCAGAAACTACTCACCTACTGAGTGAGCTCTCCTTGAGTAATTGTGACTAAAAAGTGAATTGTGCAGAAATAAAATGCAATACAAAATGGTGATTTCTTAACTATACTCCCAATGGGAAACATTGTTCAAATACCAGAGGCTCTTTGTCAATCATCAGACCAAGTCAAGGCAACCCAGTCCAGAAGTTTCTCTGTTGAGGAACAGTATCTCCTTAAAGTCAGGACTCAGGCACCTTTCTCATCATGCATTTAACAACTGATCATGCTCCACCATTTGAGTTCCTACAGCATGAAAGCATAGAATCAAATCAAGCCCCTAATTTTTAACAAGGAAACTTGAACATCATAGGGTAGCATCATCATCATAATCATCATCATCATTGTCATCTTCAATGCTGAGGAGCAAACCCAGGGCCTGTGCATACTAGCCAAGGGTTTTAACAATGAGCTGCCTCCCAATCTTTATTTAGTTGCTTTTTTAAAGAACTGGCATGATGTCTTTACACGTGCATTGTGAGTTAAATTTGATCATCTTCATAACACCATATTTTAACTGTGCCCTTAAACTGAATTATTCCCAAGTTTTTAAGTATTAAATTGATTGGTGCAGTGATTAAATAAGTTCTAGGTTCTCAGGAACAAATAAGCAGAAAAGATGATTGTTTTGTGAACGTGATTCTTGATCCTGTTCATGAACTGTTGCAATGAACTGGCTGCAGTAAATAGTGACAAACCCTGCCCTCTGTCCCTGTCATCCACCTATGACACCAACCTGCAACTGTCTCAGAAGGGACCCAGTATGCCTTGTGCTTATGAGCTTGTAGGAAAATAGGCTGAGGGTTTCACATCCTTCACTGGTGCTTTGGAATCAGCAAGACTTAGAGCATTAAGCTTTGGAGACTTGATGCTATTTTCATTCAAAATCCTTACCAAGACTAAAGCCACTTCGTGGTAGGATGAAGTGGAAAAGAATATTATAATTTTCACTTTTGCTTTCCTTTAGGTCATTAAAACCCTCTACTTAGAGAATTAATTGAAAGGGATATATAAGTCAGTACTTAGGCTGACAAAATACAGAAATAACATTAGAAATATTATTTTAGTGGGTCTTATTGTATTTGATATCCAGGGGTAGTTGATGGAGTTTCTCAGTGACTTTCTTTCTGTCCTTGCTTTTGAGATCCACTGGAGGCTGTAAGATGGCATATTCTCGTATCTGTCTTTGGAATGCACCTGCTAGGAAGAGTGAGACTGGGTCCTATTATGTGGCTAGTGTCCTGGCAACAAGATTGCCCTGTAGCATCCTTTTGGTCTCCTTTACAGACAGATGTGTTGCTATCTTCTTCTCGTCGTTCTTAATTGTTTTCTTAGTTCTTAATCTCGGAAACATTACTGTCTTTACGCAGATGTTCTCGAATGTTTTGATTCTCCTGAGAGGTCTTCTTCACTGTATTGGCACAAACTCTGTACTCCATAAATGTGTCTTCAAATCATTCTAGTTGGTCTTAATACTAAAAACCCAGATTCAGATATCAGGGTAAATGCTGAAAGATCAGAGACACAAAAGAGCAAGCCACAATCACCTCTTACCCCATCAACTTCTGAGTCTCAACCTTATAAACTTTACATTTCTTTAGTGAATTTCTTTTCTGAATCTTGTCGCAAGGACAAATTGTAACTATAGAGTCTCCAACTCCATCATATACCTGAGAAGGAAATAATATTCCCTGAGTAAGCAGGAAGTCCAAGCAAGCAACTTCCAAACACTGTGAGACACGATAGAAACAGCTGGCTTCCTGGACAGTCACCCACCGTTCCTCTGCAGTGTTGGAGCGTTCATCTTCAGATTTCAGGCCTGACATATCTGGCAGACTTATACATAAAGCAGGATATTCTGAAAGACTTTCCTACCTTGTCTTGGCAAAGCCTAGTAGCTTACTTTTACTACAGAAAAGGAGTAAACTCCATGTGGAGTTTCATCTGTGCTCATTGTCTTTTCTGAAGTAGATTGGTGCTGCCAGGAGTAGACATGCCTTGTCATAAAAAAGAACCTATGTTATTAAAATATCTTAAATGTCATTTTCTGTAGATCTCTGAAGTGTTTGAAGGCCTCCTAAATATCTAACTAAAATATATCTCTGTTTGACCTTGAAAACATACCTAACATGATTACAAGTTTGATTGCAATAAGTGACTAACTACAGACCTGCATTTCTTTACTGTCCTAAATAGTTTGTAATAATAACTTTCAGGGACTAGAAATTTACATTAGATTGTTAGATGACCTATATAGGTACAACTTGAACAACAGTAGAAATGTATGCACAGTATGTTCTAACAGAAATAACCTTAAATTTGTATCAATATACAAATTCCAAATCAATGTAAAATATTTAAAACTAAGTAGTTTCTATTTGGGTTTAAAAAAAGATTTAACAATGTACCTTCTTATCCTACCATTTCTATAGCATATATATAGTATAACAAAAATAGCAGGCCAAAATGACACAAGTCTGGGAACTCTTGCATTTGCCCGACCTTTTCTCCCATAACCAAGTTGGCATTGTTGTAGCTGGGACCTGGAGTCCTTTCTAATTAGTTTAAAATTAGCTCTTACTAACTTCAGTGCTCAGCCTATTTTCAGTACTCTGCACTATTGCACATTCCACAAAGATAAACACTCTGAGGCTATTTTCCACAAATAGCTAAGCCCATCCATATATATAATCTCATCTCTCTTTCTATCTATACATATCTATCTATCTATCCATCTATCTATCTATCTATCTATCTATCTATCTATCTATTATCTATTTATCATGTATCTATCTATCTATCTATCTATCTATCTATCTATCTATCTCTAGCGTCTATCACACACACACACACACACACATACACACACAGAGGAGGGATGTGTGTGTGTGTGTGTGTGTGTGTGTGTGTGTGTGTGTCACCGGAAGGAAGTATGCATCCTCCTCAGAGGGTAACACTATTTCTTGCTTCGGGAAAGTATCTTGCTATAGATTTCTATGCATTGAAAGAAAAAGCAAACTTATTTCTCAGATAAATGAATTGCCCTTAGCATGAGAATCCAGCACCCTTGTGGGTTGTTTTCCATGAATGCAAAGCGGCCAAACATCTGGAGTGCTCTGGGTCCCAATTAAGATAACTCATTATGACAGCACATGTTCTGACTAATGTCCTATTCCCTTAGCCATTTGTCCACGGAAGCTCCTTTGGCCTAATTAAACAAATTGGCAGTAACTGAACACTGTACTTCAGCATGAAGAAGCATGAAATGGTTGTTCTTGAAAGCATTATGCAATATTGTTTTCTCAAGTTCTGTATCTAATGTC